GCTGGGATGGTTTGTTTTCACACGGCGAAGTATTTCAACTTCCCAAGCTGCATTTTCTTTTGAATACTTTACATAATAGGGCAAACAACATGGACGAGTTTTATTTTTTATCCTGTGTACATGAATACAACTTTTCCAAAAATGTCCTGAGTAACAGAAAAATGTGAAACAATTTAAATGAGATCGATAAATACAAAAACTTCAAAATCTCTCTTTTTTTGATCATTCTTACTGCATTGCTGTTTATTTAAAGTAGAGGTGTTAAGCATTTTTAGGTTAAAGCACAAACAAAAAAACAAAACCACCTGTGACAAAAACATAGAATGATAGAAGTTTCACATTTCAGTGAAATAAAGACTTCTTTAACTGAGAAAAGCTAATTAAATTCAGAAAATAATCCAAATTCTTCAACATGCAGACCTCTGCAGGATGTGGACGGGTATGAAGCCGACCAGAACAAAACGAGCCTTTGGAGGCCGTTGTCAGACACCCAGAGAGAAGGAAGGTTGTCAAGGTGAAGAATAAAGACGGAAAACTTTAATGATGCTGTTATTATTATTCAGAGGAGAACTGCATACCTCTCTGGCTGCATTGCTTCATTTTGCATCATTTATACACTGTCAGATTTGCAAAAAAAAAAAAAGAATCCTTTGATACTAAAGCAGCAGCTCAGTAGGGCGTCTTTTTCTAAGCTTAACTTCTGTTCCTTAAAAAGGAATTTGGCTTCTGGATTAGTTTATATAATTTTTTTTTTTTTGTCTTTATAAAGACGTTTGCTTTGTTCTGAGAGTATCTGGAGAGAAACTTGATTCTTGAATTAATTATTGACCACATCAGAAAAACTGACATATTAATATTGCAGTCCCACTGTGAAATAGTTACAAAGATTACTAAATATCTGGAGGCTACCAAGACAAATTATTATGATATTTTTTTATTTATTTATGGCCTGTTACTTCAGAAATATCCTAGATATTTTTTCCCAATTTAACAACTTCCAAAATCTACAAATAGAAGAAAAAAGATGGCAAAAATAAGCAAAACTGAACTTAAATGGCTACATTGTTGTTTTTTAGACTATAACTTCAAATCACGTAAGAAATACTGGCACCAACAGGTGGGAGTTACTCACTTAAAGCTGAAGTTTCAGACCATTTTGAGGAAATTTTGAACTAAACTCACAGTTTAGTGAGGGAGGGAGGAAGAAAGGAAAGAAGGAGAGACTGATGGAGGGAAGGAAAGAAGGTAAGAAGTAAGAAAGGAAGAAAAAAGGCTGGTAAAGGGAAGGAAAGAAGGGAGAAAGGAAGGAAGGTAAGAAGTGAGGGAAGGAGGGAGGGAGGGAGGAAGAAAAGAGGGAGGAAGGAATGAAAGAAGGAGAGACTAATGGAGGGAAGGAAAGAAGGGAGGAAAGAAGGTAAGAAGCGAGGGAGGGGGAAGAAAAAAGAAAAGAAGGAAAAATGATTTGAGGGAAGAAAGTAAGGAAGGAAGGAAAGAAGGAAGGAAGGAAGGAAAGGAAGAAAGAGGGAAGGAAAAGCTGACAGATGGAAGGAAATAAGGGTTGAAGGAATGAAAACACAATAAAAGGAACAAATCAAATATAAAACAGGTGGACTCCACTGTTCGTATCAACTTGAGATTTTTCCTCAGTTATTCATCAACAGATTTTATCTCCAACCAGCTTAAAATGACAACAAATGAGAAAAATAAGATCCAAACAGGGGAAAGGATGTGATATGTTTTTATATATGTAAAAAAAGCAAAATAAGAAAAAACTAGAGGCAACTTTTTGAATTAGAGGCAACATTTTGTGATGTACAGATCTGAAACAGAGAGAGACACAGTGTCTCAGAGGTCAAAGGAGAAGAAAGATGGAGCTGGAAAAAAACAGCTTGAAGGAAACTCAGCAGGAAGAGAATTAAAAAAAGTAAGAAAAAGCAGGAAGGCAGGAGAAATATCCGGAGGAAAAGGAGAGAGGAGGCGACATTTCAGCTGAAGCTGGAGATGTTTTATTTACAGAGGAAGAACAGAGAGATGAAGGATGAGGAAACAGACAGAAATCAACTCTTAGAGTCTCCAGACAGCTTTGACTACATTCACCAAGATCATCTATCAAGGTGAAGATGCTCCACTCTGAGGGGAAAGCAGCAGAAAATCAAAAAGAGCAGTGACAGATCCTTTCTAATCCAGAGCTGCTCCTTAACTCAAGTTCAGGTTTCACTTCATGACGCTCCAAGTTTAGGGTCTTAACACTGATAGTGTCAGAAAGTAATGCCTTAAAACGTCTCTAAACTTCAATACTGATTGAAATATTGGGATTTTACATGACAGGACAACACAAAGCAGTGGATAATTGAGGAGTGAAAGGACAACACTCCAAAAACACAATATCTTATAAAGTATTGTTGGTCTTTTTTCTAGAGCAAATATTTTATTACACATGCTTACTACAGAAAAAATAACTTACAAGTAAGTTTTCAGCGAGCTATAAATGCTTGTTTTAAGCCAATAATTTCTTGATATTGATTGAAAAAGTACTTGTTCCCCTGGCTGATTATTTATCTTTAAGACATAGTGAAATAATCTGCCAGTTAAACTCTTTTTGATACATTTTAAGAAATTATTGACTTAAATAAGATCTAAAAAGTTAGTTATAAGTTAGTTTTGTACTATTTTAAGCCCATTAAGATTTTTGAACTAACACGCTAGGAAATCAGCCTATTATGAAGCAGAATTTTGTCTTTGTTTTATTTGTGTAATGTTGTTTATTTACCAAAGTGAAGCTAAAGTGAATGAAACCAGACCAAAAATACAACAGGTGCACGATCTATAAAAAGCCCGGCCTGGCAATTACAATTTTGGCCGATACCATTTTTTTTGTTTGAAATATTTGAACATAGCAAGAAAATATGTCAGTTGGTAACAGTGGAGTCATTGTTCACAGCAAATGTGCAGATATGATCTGATGGTCCAGGCTAACAGTCAAACCTCTCTCACTGCAGAGCAGAAGAGGACAGAGGCTGATTTTCAGACCTTTGCTGAGGCAGATAAGATCGATGGATAAGATCGGCTCCACATGTAAGTCTCAACCAATAACCAATCTTACAGAATTAAGAAATTAACTCAGTGCACCCCTAAAAAACACTTGGTAAAATTTTGTGTTTTCGGAGTGAAGGATGAACAAGTTTTCAACATTTTCAACAAAAAACAATCAAAAAACTGAGGTGCGCATTTGTATTCAACTATTTTTCATTCAGTGGGAAGAAAATCCAAAAATTTTACTCAACAAAGAGTAGCGATACTTCATAATAAAATTACTTCAGTAAAAGTAAAAAGTACAGCATAGTAAAAATACTCCTAAAAGTAATTTTTTCCCAAAAAGTTATTAAAGTAAATGTGACTCTGAAGTCACTGCTTCACAAAAGGCTGTTTCTATTATTTCTATTTCATTTTTCTTTCTTTGTTTTGTTGCTATCTTATGATGACACTGTTGGCTCGCATTGCTAAAAAAAGATCGATCCAAAGATGGCGGCGCTGATTATTACTTTGAAAACACAGCACTGCTGTGTGACATCAACGTTCTGCTTCTGCCCAGGCGGGTCGCTTTGGGGTCATAAATTGTTCACGCAGAAATCTGACAGTATTCGCATTTAATTAGTAGAATTTCAGCAAAAAAAATTGTAATTGAGAATTAAGATCTGTTGTGTGAACAACGCATAAGCTGCTCTGCTTAGGTTGTGTTTTGTAGCCTTCACTCTGCAGCAGCAGGTTTTATTGCCGTCCTTCAGCTTTACTGTTCGACCTCCTCATAGCTAGCCTGAGCCCTGACTTCCTGTGACTGATCAATGTGGAAAGAAAAAGTTCTCAAATGCAGCGACAGCTATTTATTAATATTTTATTAGCTTGTTGATGTTTTTCTAAATGCATTCCAGCATAACCGTAACCGGGCCTTTGGGAGTATTTGTGATCTTGATGTGGCAAAAAATGAAAACGAGTTTGACTCCCATGCTTTAGGTTGAGCAGGAAAAGGAGATGCAGAGCAGCTGCTGAGTGGTGGGTGAGAATCACGACAAAGGAAGAAATGAGCTGCCTGGGGTATTCAAGGGAGCAAAAACAGATGAGTTTGAACGTAAAACCCTCTGATCATCATCTTCACAACTAGGCTGTTTCCCAGAAGTTAGCACGATAAAGGACAATATTTCTGTTTTTGAGACCATTTTTAAACAAAGATAATGCAAGAAGACATTCTTGAGTTCTAATAAACATTTAACACTGGAAATGGAAGTTATTCAAATATAAATAAACAAAAGAACAAAATCAAGAAGTCAAATTAATTATGAAGTCTTAATGAACAAACTTGACCTTCAGAAAAAAGAGCCTGTTGAAAGAAAAGCACCCGACTGAAGGCTTTTATCATCCAATTGTTTGTAGAAACAAAAATTGAAAATACAAAAAAAAAACATAAATAATGCAAATGGAAATTATTGAGCTTGTTTTAACTCATTGTAAGTTTGATCAATTTATTGCTTATAGTGACAGGGTTAATCATAACAGCACCGCTTCCCCTCAGATTCAGCAGCAGGTCAAACAGGACTCTGTGCCAAATTCACAGCCATTGCCTGAAGCATCACCTCACCAACCTGCTTTGTGGAGCAAAACCCAAGATGCTCCTCATGCTGCAGTGAGCACAAAACTAACCAGAAAGCGAACAGATTAAACTAATTTTACGCGCAGGAATTAGATCCTAGGAAGGGATTAGAGCACTCCTTTGCACCACAACTGCAACTCTGGTAATTGCAGGACACAAATGAGGATTAGCGGGATAATCAATGCGTTTTGTCCTCGAAGTCAAAACTCCCAGCAACGCAAAATGCGCTGCAATCTCCGCACTGAAAACTCCTGAATAAATGTCTTTGAGTCCAGTTTGCCTCCATCCAGAAACAAAGTAAAGAAATCAAAATAAATAAATAATAAAAACAAAGACGTGCAGAGCTCGGACTCACCTTGCGCTGCTGTCCCGCTCACCCCGCACAGCAGCAGGGCGACCCGAGCCGTAATCCCAAACACCCTTATAGTCCGCAGATCCATGGTGAAGCTGCAGGGAGGCTGCAGAGATGCCGACAGACCGCCTCTCCCCTCTGGTTCCGACTGAGATCTCTGATCCAGCTGGAGGAGGACAGCCAGGGAGGGAGGCGAGAGCTGGACGGAGAGAGAGAGGGAAACAGGGAGCGGGTGAAACGCCTCCTCCACCGGAGAAAATACGGAGCTTTGCAGGACTGCGCCCTTTTATTACAAAAAAAAAAAAAAAAAAAAACTTTACTTCTCATAAACAAGTCTTAAAGTTGAAGAGCTGGGTGACAAAACCAACTTATAAAAGGGAAAAGTTAATTATTTATTTACTTTTTAAAAATAATGTGGCTGTAAGCATGTGTTCAAACAGTTGGGGGCAATAAAAGCCTGGAAAGATGCACTTACAGGAAAAACAACCCTCCCTGCATGTGAAACTTTTCATAGCTAATGTGTATTAACAACAGAAAAACAACCAATTTATGCATAAACAGATACTAGAGGCAGCTTAGGACACAAATGTATCATTTAAAACTCCTCTCAGGTTCGAGGTTCCCTTTGTAAAGTTACAGTCAAACGTTAGCAGTAATAATTTGGGTTTTCATAACAGAAAAAACGGCGGTTTAATTCTCAAAGCTATAATTTCCCAATGTTGCTAACTCATTTATTAACACCACAGTTTCCAAATAAACATTTAATCAAAAAATTAGTTTTGTGCTATTCAGTTAGAAAGTTAAACATGTGGCTGCAAAAAATATTCAGCTAGCACAATAACATTTACCTTCAAACAAAATATATAATTTGGAGCTAAATATTGAGCTAATTTCGTTAGCTTTAATCTAAGCTAATATGCTAATTGGCTTGTCGATAAGCGGAAGTGGACTACCGAAATAAAAGACGGGTCTAACGAACCTTTAACTTATGTTGCTAATGTCATAATTCTTTCTTTTCCTCTCGACATGTTGAATGTTTTAACTTAAAACAAAGATGAGGCATTTCAATGGCAATACAAAAGTTTATCCACGGATGTACAGCGACAGTTCACCAGCAACTTTATATGAAGAGCCAACCGGATTTCCGGTTGAACTTGTGTCTTAGCTACTTGTTTGTTTTGCTCTGAGCTAAATAGTCAAGACCTAATATTTAATGTCAAACGGAATATTAACCTAAATAAATATTTAGTTTGGTAACAAAATAGTTTGAAGCTAAATATTTGGTTTGTAAATTAAATGTTTAGCTTGCTAGCTTATTTATTTAGCTTGATAACTAAATGTTAAGCTCGAAGCTACATAATTAGCTTGCTAACGGGGGTTACATAATGCAAATTATCAATGTTAATTTTTGTTTTGATTTACTTTAGTTTTCAGTCCTCGAGTTGACACAGGAGGAAGGAAGAAATTAGTTTTAAAAAGCATTGCTTTAACCTCTAAGTCAACATGAAGGTCCCCTTATGCTTTGCTCAGTGTGAGCCAGAGGTTACTTATTTATGCAATAAATTATGTAATATTTATGCAAGCCTGACCAAAACTATAAAACTCAACAAAAGGAGGGAAATATACACTGAGCAGACATTGATTTATTTCAATTTCAAACCATTTTACAGTGTCTATCATTTTTTACCTTTCCATACACAAGTGAAAAAAGAAAGAACACACAATATTGAAAGAAACATAAAACCAAACTAGGACATAAACCATATTTATATTTCTGTCAATGGTAAAAACACAAAGTGTAGAATGAAAAAAGTTTTTATTATTATACTTTGCTATATATACTTTCTAAAATATATTTCCAAGGGAATTCCAGCAAAGTGTGTAGAAAAACTCATGAAAGAAAACAAAACCTTACTATGAAAAAAGAAAACAATTGATCCAAATAAAAAAGTGGTCACAAGTAATCAAATTAAGATTATCCAAGTTACAATATAATGTTCATTAAGTTGACATGATTAATAAATGTAAATAAAGTAAGTCTGCCAAACTCAATGTAATAAATTAATCAGCTTGTATTCTTTTAATCTTGTAAATGTTCTGATCCTGTACATTTATTTTTCATCAGTAAAAAAGTAAAAATAAAAGATTACTTTGGAGGATTTTCTGAAATTCACCATCATTTGGTATTTTTCTGTTGAGGGTTGGAAACCCTCCTGGTTCTAGAACATTCAGTCCGGTTTAAATCCAAACAAAACAAATGCACCTTGAGGAAAATGGCTGCTGGCAATTACTTCCCATCAATCCATGACAAGATGGAGATCCACAGCATTCGGTCTGCTTTCGACACCAAACTGAAACAGATCAACTCACTGCCCATCAACGCCAGGCGAGACGCCCGGAATAAAACCGGCTCCATTAACTGGATCTGCTCGATGAGTCAGCGGGCCGAAGCGCCGTCCGCCTGCCAGGCATCGAACCTGCTCCTGAAGGTTCCTGAGTACCGGCCTCTGGACGCCTTCGTCGTGACAGCAGAGGATCCCGGCTCGGCTTCGTGGAGCGACGAGGACGAAATCTGCGAGCTGTGCATCAGGCTGAAGGAGTTTGAGCTGCTTGAAATGATGCAGGACTCAGCAAAGATCCAGTGCAGTAAGTAGATTCTGATGGTAAAAAAAACCCCAACAGCTTTGATGAAATCACCAACAGGAGTTCATCAACCTATGACTAAAATGAAACGGGATGTTTTCTGATGTAGCTTCCAATCTACAGGTTGGCAACGTTTCCCCAATCTCAGCAATTACTATCTTAACTTATTAAAAATCTGCAAATGTTTTCAAAACAAAACAAAAAACAAAGAATTAAACTTTCTCTAAGGCTTCGTTCACACTGCAGGCCTTAATGCGCAATTCAGATTTTTCTGTGAAATCTGACAAGGGTTTTTTGCCATGGTTGTTCACATTTTAAAAATATCCAACTTGTATGTGATCTACTGTGTGAACCGCAAACGTCCTGAAAGTCTCCTGGCATGCGCAGTAGGGGGCGCAATAACGTCAAACAAAGGCTACAAACAAAGGCTGAAGTGACCCAATTCAAATTTTTTGACTTAATGTGACCTGTATCTGACCTTTTCACGACAGTCTGAACAGCACAGATTAGATTTTTTTTCAGCACTTGGATATCCGGCGCTTGTATCGGATCTTTCAATCTGAGTCTGAACGGCTGAACATCGTCGACACACGACAAGCATCATTATTCTGCGTTATGATAACACGCGAGCAGGAAGAAAAACAACCACCATGGTGGACGATAATGAGGATTAAGTTGTTAATATGCTGACTCCGATCGGACTTTAATCACACATAATTAAATCGTGAGATTTTGAAATTGTTGTCATGCTAATGATCGATGGATAATTAGCATCCATGTTTACTTCTGCAAACACTGAGCACTTCTTTTTTTTATGGCGGATGGCAAAAATCAGCATGCTCTCTTTGTGTAATGTTATTGTGAGACACTTTCAGGTTATTTGTGGTTCACACAAGAGATCACATTCAAGTCACTTTTATTTGGAAGTGTGAACAAACACACAAAAAATAATCTTATTTGGGTAACTGCAGGCTGCAGTGTGAATGTAGTCTAAAACAGCTTGAAAAGATGTTTGACTTGAACATCATGGAAAGAATTAGAAAAACTCAAAGATTCCTAATAAATAATACTTTCATTTGCATCTTTCAGACACATTTCTGAGGAACATCAGGATGCGTCAGATGAAGCCCATGGAGACAAGAAGGAGATGAAAAATCCAAACAATCAATGAATAAACTTCAAGCAGCTCTAACTTTTTTTTAAAACTAATCAGTTTTTCTGCACTGTAAGTTCACCAGATAAACAGTAAAAGCTAAAAAATGTAAAACTCAGGTCACAGTTTTTTTTTATAATGTCTGCAACATGCATTAAGCATGCAGAGTAAAGATATGTGATTAAAACTCTGCCAAAGAAATATAATTTATTGCATCGTTTGTTAGCAGGGAATGGCAAATTAAAAAAACAGATTAATTCTTTGTGTCAGAAAAATGAAGTTGCCTAGAAACTCCATTATGTGTCTCAGATGAACGGTCTTCCAAATTACGCTGCTGTTCACTAATCTGTGGAGTTAATCTGTTATCTGTGTTTAGCAGATTTCTGTATCGTGTTTCGTTTTCCTCTGAACAGAAAACTGGTCTTCAACCGATCACAAACAAAATCAGCTGTTCAAATGCACAAAAGTTTTCCCCAAAACACAACTTACCGCTCTTGTTTGTCTAAAACTAAAATAGCCATAGTTTGCTGTCATTCGCAATCAGTGCCATATATTTATTAGATAACTGTGAACTAATTTCTGCTACTCTGATTTAACATAACAAAATGTGATTTAATATAAGCTCAGGCTGTTGAAAAGGAAATACTTACCTACTCTGAAAGAAAAAGCGTAAAGGTTTCCTGTGTAGAGTTCTGATATTTACAAATGTCTGAAGCCAAACTTGTTCTCTCAAACTGTCGCTGATAGACCGTTAAGATACTTTTTTTCTTTCTCCAAAGCTTGTTACAAGTGACTTAAGGGACAAAACGTTCTGTTTGTCAAAGTTAAATTTTTTTAGGCATTAGTTTGCAACCTCTTTTTCTCCAGCACAAACAATAACAGACGGAAAAATCTTAGGTTTTCTGGAAACGCTGTAAAAGTCGTGCTTGCACAGCTGGCGGCCGGCTTTGTTCGAGTCATAACTGAATATTCTCCGATCGAAGGCGCCGCCGTTCTCCACGCAGCGGGGGCTGCGGACCAATTTGTGTAACACAGAAATGCCCGGGGATGAGGTGAAGGAGTCACATTCAACACATCAGGTCTGGGGCAGAATATCAAGTGAACGCATTTGGAGAGAAAAAGCCTGAAGTCGATAATACACGGTCAAGAAAAGAGTCGTGGAGACAGCGAGAAAGGCAAGGGGGGCATGCCGAGAGTTAGCAGGGGGATCAGATAATGAAGAGCTACTGAGAGTGTGGATGGCAAATGCAATGAGATGATAAAAAAAAAAAAACTTGTTGAGCGCAAGCGCAGCATGGGAATCAGATAACACACTCAGCATGGCCATCACACACTTAGACGATCTGCAGATGTTTCACACACAGAGAGAGCAATGTTCTGAAAACGTAACAAAGAAACAGAAGAATGAGACGCGATCAAACAGCAGGCTTCACAACGCCGGGAAAAAGGTGACGGATTAGTTTAGACACAGACAGCGACACATAAAGTCAGAAAATCTGAAGCGAGACATGAAAAATATTTCTTTACATGTTGGGATTTCTTTGGAAAATGTGCTCCAACTAATAAGCTACACATTGTGTAGATCCAAATTAAAAATTTTACATTTGGAGATAATAAAGAAACAAAGTGAGATGATTTCATTTAAAGAGTCCTAATAAAGCATTATACAACTTTGATGTAATTTTGTTTAATTTGAGAGAAAATGTTTCCAAAGTAACCTGTCATTCAATTTTTACTGAAAAGCTGATAAAAGGGTTCAGACATCAAGGTTTCCTACAGAAAACTTGCTGAGCTCAGTGGTTGGGTAAGGCAGTCAAATTTTAAAATATCACTTGATAATTATGTGTATTAAAAGATTGGAAGATTAATACCTTAACACCAACTATAAAGTCTTAAAAAATGGAAACATTTTAAAAAGACTTAAAAAAAAAGCAATACTTAGCCTGGTGGGGGCACAAGTAAAGCCTGGTGGCCCGCCAGGCTTATAATACACTGGGGGAAACCCTGGACATGTTATGTTACCTACAGATTAGGGCTGTGGAAAGTTATTGGTAAATCTGACAATTAATCTAGCAATTGAATAAAAAAGTAGGTACATAATCTAGTGAAATAAATGCATGAAAGTGAAAATGTTAGTAAAAATACAATTCAGTTAATTTTTAGTAAGAAATTGTGGTAACACTTTATTTGATGTGAATAAGACTCATAAACATGAGTAAGTCTTCATGAATATTTATGACTGTTGTCATAAAGTGTCATTCGGTAAGTCATGACACATTTAATACAAAGTTGGCAATATTCAAAATGTCTGTTATGACAACTTGACATTAACCAAGAAATCATGATCTGACATAAATAAATGTGTTATAAAAGTATTACTGATTAAACTTTAGCTTTAATAACATAAAGCTACATAGTTTTTTAAGGTTTACTCATGTTCATGACTGGTGTTGTCATGTTTATCACGCTGTCATGACAGTCTTATTCACAACCCGTCAAATACCAAAATTGCTTAGCCATCGCTATTGCTAATGTGCGAATGCGCGGAAAGCACCACAACAATTAAAAAGGGAGCGATTCAATCAGCCCTGTTTTTATTAAAAGAAAACATTTGGACTCTTTTTCATCTTAGCTGAATTCCCAGGAAGCTCAACATAAGCTTCACTGTGTGGAAAATGAAGATTGAAAACTTTGGGAATACAGCAAATGAACGGCACCAAGCAACAATGGAGCCAAGGTATGAAGTGTTGTGTGAGTGGCTCTGTTCAATACTCACGTCCCTCTCTTACGTCGGGGCAGACGTACTTGCAAACAGTCAATTAGAGGACACCTTAATGTGTCTCTTTCCAGTCATTTAAAACAAGACATTTACAGTCAACATGAGCAAAACGACACCAAATCAGTGAGTCTAATAACAGATAGCAGCCACAGTGAGGATGTTTGTGTCTTACTTTGTCTCAGAAAGGCCATGGCGTTCTCAGCTGGTTCTTTAATGTGAAGCCACTTCATCAACTTTTCTCTTTTTCTTCACATCGTCGCCTCGTCTCTGCAACTGAGCACACAAACCGCAGAGCGCTTGAACAGCAACAATAAATACTTCAAAATAAGCAGGAAAAATGTGAAGCAGAGATGTAATAAGTGGTTTAGTGATTCAACAATCTGCTGTCCAGACTGGAGGCATGCAGATTGCAGGAATGGAGCCAAACTAAATCCCCCTGGTTTATTTTTCTAAGAGGAGAGATTTGCTAAACAGTCGCTCAATGAATGAACACCCAGGGACACAGTGAATAGCGTTTTCTAAACTTGAAAACTTCAGATAATAGTAGTAATAAAGCAGCAAACTGTACATTTTGCCATCATCTAAATAATTTACACATCAGATATGCTCATACTACTTATCAAAGGTGAGTTTTTAGCCTTTAGTTTTCTGATGTTTGTTCCAGACTTGTGGTGAATAGAAGCTGATTGCTGCTTCTCTGGCAACATTCACTTCAATGAACACTTTTTTGATAATTATCCTAATTAATATTCTTTTCCAGACTGTGGAAAGTCTGCGAAGTATTCCCTGAAAACCCTCCAGCTTATTTAGACGTTTGCAAACATTTAGACAGTTTATTAAGTGAAACAGCCAAACTGAAGCAGTGAATAAACTCCTTCCAAGTAGTTTTTATTTGAACACTCATTCAGCTCTGCTGGACCAGGAATCACTAAAGTTTTCCCTCCTCTATCTCAGCCACTGAGGAGGAATTTCTGTTTCAGGCCTGCCAAGTTTGCCGGTCAAAACCCTCTTTTAGGTTGTGGACCTGCGATTCAAAGGATCCCCGTGGCGAAGCGACACATTTGTCACTGATGGAGTGTTTTTGCTTTGCCACAGAAACATCAAAAAAAAAAAAGAAAGAAAACAGCTAAAAGGAGCTTCATACTGGACGACTGAAAAGCAAAGAGAAGAGCTGCATAGAAATGAGGTGAGAGAGGAAGAGCAGTGAATGTGCCTGAAAGTATCAGTTTTTATTAATCTGGTCTGGTTGGGTGCTTAGAAAGGTTGTAATAGTTTGTGGGTTTTTCTTTGTAGTTTAGTTTTATTTTGTTAAAACAAAACAACTCGGTTAGTTTTAACTAGTTTTTAGGGTGTGTTTGCTTGATTTTATTAGTTAAATATTGTTTAGTTTCAGTGGTAGTTTTAGTTTGTTCATGCTTTGGTTAATTTTTAGTTGCAAAATTAAGAAAGAGGTATTTTGTTTGACTATGTAAACAGTGAATCCTTGGGGGGTTGCGTTCCGAAAAGCACCCATGATAGGCAAAATCCGTGAAGATTTTTTACAATTGTCATACAGCGTAATTAAATATTCTACATTGACACCAAAGAACGAAACCTGTTTTCAGACACAAGCATGTTTTTAACAAATAGGACGCTTTCATAAAAATAACTACAGTAAAATTACATTTTTAATCCTCAACGCGAAGTCAAGTAGGACAAAATTTGCCACTGTGCCAATACTGTAACGTTATTGGCTCTCAGGTAGAGAAGAAGGCACTGTGAAAAAAAAAACTGCACAAAACAATCTGTGAAGCAGAAAGGTGAGGGTTAGCTGTACATTGATTGGGTGATGAATACCCAACAGAAGACACATATTTCAAAATCTAAAACTCTTTTTTATTCCTGACTTTAGACAGATTAACCTTATTTTTAGTGGTAAGACAGAGTCGAATATTGAAGTGAAATGTATGAAAACAGAAACTCTGTTCAGCGCTTTGCTTTAAATGTGTTGATCATCCAAAAGGCCTTTTATACAACAGTGAACCTTGTTTTGCTCAAGGTTCACTTCTGCATATGTTACAAACATGCTGGGATCAAACTGTAACCTGACAGATGACAGTTTTTCTTCTTCCAAGACAGAAAAACAGAAATCAGTTATGAAACCAGTTACAAGCAAAACACACACAAAATCAGACTTGTACACAGCGTCGGGTTGCATTTACTTGAGTAACTTTAAAAAAAAAAATTAATATCAGAAGTATTTTTACTGCACTGCAATTTATATTTTAACTTGAGCAAATTTTGAATGAAGTATTTTTACTCTCACTTGAGTAAAATTTCTGGGTTTTCTACCCGCCGAGTATTTTATCCTTAAAATACCACAATTTCCACATAACTTTATATTTTGGTCCGTCTGATGATGTAATTTTTAAATAATAATTAATTTGATCAGTTACTCAGTACTTGAGTAGACTTTTTACCAAATACTTTCTTGCTCTTACTTGAGTGATTTCTTGGCTTTTTTCAACTTTTACTTCAGCACATTTATGTCAAAGTATTGCTACTCTTACTTGAGTACAAGTTTTGGGTACTCTGCCCACTTCTGCCTGTATACATAAAAAACAAAAACACACAATGTTGTTTTACATAGTTCCACTATGATTTGCATCTTTAAATTTCATCTAGAAAAAAAAATAAGTAAATTTATGAAATACTAATTAGCTAATAAGTGAAATAAAGCAAAAAGGGGAAGTTTGCCATATAAAAAGAACAGAATAAGAAAAGTGAGGGTGGTTCTACAGGCTGTGGATGTTTTCAGGCCAGTGAATGCATTTGCAGTGAACGATACGAGCCTCAGCTTTGCTTTTTGTCCACGCTTGAATTTGTGATGAATTCCAGAAGGAGTGAGCTGGTGATCAATGATCTTTGACTCTGTTTTATATTCACAGCAGCAGCTGCAGGCTGTTGGAGACCTGCTGCCCAACCACTCGGCCAATTGCATAAAAGAGAAAAGCGATGAAGAGATTTTTTTTATGCTTTTCATATTAAAAGAGAAGATGAAGCTTTGAGAATCCAGAGAAGAAGAAACAACAGAGGTTTCTGTGTATTTCTACATATAAAAATGTTTGCCAAATATAAAGCTATGCAGTGTTTAGGCCTATCAAAATAAACAATAAATCAATTAATCACATGATAAATTGAAAGGAGATGAATAATTTCCATTTCTCTTTTTTCTCTTTCTACCAAACACTGGATGACAAAAGTCTGGTGAAAACACTGCAATTGCAAAATTGTGGGGATTTTTTCGACATTAGCAGAACAAAGACAAAGATTGGCACGGACTGTAACGGAAACAAGCTTATATGAGAAAATGAAGTTTTAGGTCAGGGGGATAAACACCAAGACTTGTACGAAACCAAAGTGTTGACAAAGATTGAAGGAGTCTTCAGGAACATTTCTGACTGCTGTCATGAAGTGTCATTCAGTAAATGATGACGCTTTAGTGCATCAAACGTGTTAATTTAGCATTATTTGATAATTACATTTGTATGCAAAGTGACATTAAAACTTACATTAAAAGTCAATTACAATTTTGCATTAAAAGTGTCTTTATTTAGCGAATGACATTTTATGACACCAATCATAAACATTCACAAAGAGTCCTTCATGATAATGACCCTTTTGTCATGTTTATGACAATGTAACGTCAGTCTTATGCACACCTTCAAATAAAGTCTTACCAAATCGATTCATGAAATGATCTAATATTTGCTAATATTTCTAGCATCTATGAAATAAAAAATATTTAGATAATTTCAAACCCAGAAAATTTCAGGCAGCGGGAAAGAAAATGTGTTTTTTATAGCGTAACTGGATTTAATTGTGTTTGTTAGATTTAACATAGAATAACAAGTCTTTACTCAGTTTTTCTATTTATTTTTTTAACCTCATGCTGTTTTTGTTTTTTTCCAAATGTCTTTTGAAACCTGGATTCAAGGTTTTTTTATTATTTATTTGAGTCTGGTGTTGGTACAAAGCATTGCCAAGTATCATATGTTTTCTTACATGTTTTCAAGCAGAGGTGATTTTCCCAGGAGCTTGCTTCATTATCAAGTTAGTGGGTGAAGGCGCTGCAGTCTTAACCTTCAGAAATCCAGTAAAAGCCGTTGCTTTGGTGCACCGCCTTATAAATAACACATTAGGACGGCGGTGCAGGCTGGAGGTGTAATAATGTGTTTTCAGAGTCCTCATCCTTGGATATTTAGGTATATCAAAAACATTCCTGGAGCCTTTACAAACTTTACACACCACATGTCTGGTTTGTGAATTACTGAGAGTGAATGCTTCAAATCTAACAAATGTTTTAAATTGTGTTTTCACAGCCGGAATTCAATTAAAGGTTGCTTCTTGGGTTTCTGCTTTGTAAGCTTGTAAAACAGATTAAAAAAAAAAAACATTTTCAGCTTCGATTCAGTCAAGGCTTTGCCCCCATTCTCCAGCAGCTTGTTTTGTTCCAGTTTTATATGGGGTAAATAATTAATCTAACACATTTAGATTTGGCACAGCAACACAGAAAGTTTCCCTCTGAGATTGCACTCCTGTTTTTGTCGGCCAAAACTTATTCCATTTTTTTTTAGCTTTCAGTTTGTCTTTGAAGTTACTTTTGAAGAATGAGACGACAGATTGATTATATCTCTGAGCCGTAACCACATTTTCTCCATATGCTTAATCTAGATGCAGCAGATGATGATGAGAAAAGCTTCGCCTCAGCTCTGAAACCCTCCTTTATCACAAAGATTAAAGCTCGCTTCTTTCTCCAGCTCTCAGTTCAGAAGGAACAGGGTCCAGTAATTGGCTTATATTGCATGACAGAACATGTTTAATGGCTCCTTATCATCTCATCTAACATGGACTGATGTCAGTCTTAGTGTTTTAAGATTACAGGTGCTCTTAAGTAGAAAGCCACAAAATTTCATCAAGTATTTTTGGTTTAGGTTCTAGTGCAGAAACACTTCAATTAAAAAACTAACTTCCAGGTTTTAAGTCAATAATTCCTTTGTATGAATAAAAAAAAAAAGGTACTTATTCCCATGGCAGATTATTTCACTTATGGAAAAATTGTCTTGTTATAAGTTAAACAATTTGCTTATGAAACTAGAACTTTTCTGAAGTTACTTGTGAGTTAATTTTGTCTTATTTCATGTTTGCTAAAATATTTACATTAAAACCTAGACTAAAATAATTGGTGAGTTTTTGTGTTTTTGCATTTATATAAAATAATTGGTTTCATAATA